ATTCTATGAAATTTGTGAACTACCGATTTTTCTTTTTAAAATTTATGTTCATACCCCTACCCTCCCTCTCTCCCCCACCACTACTCTATTCCCTCTCTCTCTCCGTCTCTCTGAATTCCAATAAATATTTACTAATATATAAAAAACTATAATAGTACAACAAAACCAAGCTGCCACATCTCTCTCTCTCTCTCTGAAATCTAACAAATACATTACTAATACATAAAAGGAAAAAGTTTATATAAGGTTGTAATCTTAAAAATGTTGAATTAAAGGTCCGCCTCGAAAATTCTTTATAAAAAGTTGTTTTGATGTTGAAAAATCCTCTAATTGATCATCTCGACATCGAGATGCATGAATATGAAATGAAAAAAAGATTTCGAGTACAAGAAATAGTGTATCTTGCAACACATTATTTGGACCATTCATTTTCAAAATTTTCATGTGTTTATAGATCTACATGATTTGAACTATTTTTAGAGTTTAAAATTCTATAATTAGATATGAAAATAGATTCTCACGCATCATAAGAATTTTTTATACCAAAATATGTTTATGATAAAATTTAGAAGTACATTTTAATTAAGTTTGCAACCTTATTGAAACCACACCTTATATAAAAATTACAATAGCACAACAAAACCAAGCTGCCACCGAACAACCAAGAAAGGTAAAAGAAGTTTACAATAAGGGAAGAATTAAAAGCACTCACCTAACTAGGAGGTCAGTCTCCTGATTTGTTTCTTGATAGACATGGACAAATGATATATCTCTTTCAACACATAAGTTCATAATCTCAAAAGCAGTTGGCTGCAACAAAGATACCACTGTTCACCCTTACACTGATGGTATTCAATGAATTACCTTCAACCACAACCTCATGGCCACCATTGAGAATCCTCAATCCAAGAAGCACTGCCTTTTATCTCAGCCTCATTAATCGGTGCGTTCGCATAGAGCCTAAGCTGTAAACAATAAAATTAGAGCCTAACTTCAAATCGTATCGAGAATTGTAGTTTCAATACTAGAAATCTTTATGATAGTCTTAAAATATATTTTCTTCTTTATTTATAAAGTTTAAAGTTTCAAAAATAGTGTAGATCGAGCAGATATATGAAAACTTGATAATCTTGAAAATTGACGGTCTAAAAATATATTACAAAACACACTATTTCCAAAACCTGAAATCTATTTTTTTTTTATGTCCATGCATCTGGATGTCGAGATTATCAATTTGAGGATATTTGGCCATCAAAACAACTTTTTATAGTGGAATTTTTTAGGTAGGTTCTAATTTGGTTGTTTAGAGCCTTGGCTCTATATAAAAAGTTTTCCCATAATTCAATTTAGCAAAAGCATTAGAAGGAGATGACCAATCTTTGGTCCTTTTATGATTCAAATTTGCAACCTCCTTACTATAATACATAAAATCCATTTTGGAAATCCCCTGACATTCTGTAGTGATTGAAGCCCACAATGCCACTTGTATAAAAACACTATTCTTCGTCACATTCACATCAAGACAATATCCCTCAAAAATAATATTTCTTTCGCAAACTTCCCATAATAAAGCTTCTGTCATAGTATTCCAAAGTACTTTATACCACCTCATGCATTTAACTACCTCCTTCTCTGCCCTTTTCTTTTCTTTACCTCTCCTCCTCTCTTGCCTTTGGTGATCTCATATGCCTCATAGACCATGAGGCTTGTGGTGGTCCGTGAAGCAAGTCCATCACGGATCTATTAGATTTGTGATGGTCCATGAGGAATGAGATCACTTAAAGCCATCGTGGACCTAGTAGGTCTGTGATGCTAGATTATATTCTCAAGATGGACCTAATTGCTCCCTGAATCCCAAGGTAGAGTATGATCAATTGTATGGACCATCACAAACCCAATAAGTCTACGATGATCCTTAACAAGCCTGTTATAAAATTCTGTCAAATGAAGTTTTGGAGTCCGATAACTATATATTGACATGAAATATCTTTTCCTAACCCTAATTATAAAATGGGAAATTGAAGTATAGATTGGGTTCTTTTACTGTTATAACGGAATGATCCAAAAATAGACCGTTATTATCTAGAAGTACGAATTTTTGAATTTTTTTTTATTTTTTGCCAAGTTTTCCTCCAGTCCGATTTTTCAAACATCGAACCACTTTTTTTTTTTTTCTCAAACATGGCCGTATAAGAATTGTACCCTTTTTTTTTTTTGTTTGAAAACACTGTCAAATGTTTTAAATATCAAACCGTCTTATGTTCAAACTTTTTAAAGTAAAATAAGCGGTCTGATGTTCAAACCATTTGACCGCCTTCTATTGAATTTTTCTAAGTAATAATGTGGTCTGATAATTCGAACATCGTACCACTTAGTTTAGCTAAAAAAAGAATAGATATTCAAACCATCAAAACGCATTATTTACTTAAAAAAAGAACAAAAGGCGGTTGGAAGTTCAAACCATTAGACCGCAAAATTTCCTGTATCTTTGAATAATTATAGGGCTTCCTTCACCCCATTGGCCTTGCATAGCCCATTTATAAGAGTGTTATTGTGATAACAATTGTTCAAAATTTATTATTTTCCATCGCCCTCACAACTCACCACTCCTTGCCCAATCTTTTCATCACCACAGTCAACAGGGATAACATTGAGACGGTAGCCCAGCTGTTGAATGAGACCCACAACCCCAAAGGGCAAATTAGGTTCTTTGGATTTGCCGAAAACATACGACCAACTTGTGCATTACAGTAAAATCAATCAGGTGACATTCCAGATTGAGCCATGGCTTTACATAGAGACAGTACCGGCTCTTGAGAGAGATTCCAACAATAAATTGCATTTGCAGAGGGAAGGATTGAGACTGGAACGGAGGAGCAAACGAGGGAGCGTGCTCTCCTTTTGAAGGCAGTCCGATGGTTTAAACCAATGGTTTAAAAACCGGATTGGTGACCCGGATCGGGCTTTTCAAAAACCAATCCGGATCGGTGAATCGGCGATCCTGATCGGCGAATCGGCGATCCAGATCGGAATCGGGTGAATCGGTCAGAATAAAGTTTCAAAAAAATCCGAAAAAATTATTAAAATTCACTATAAATATTGTTTTTTAGGAATTCAATAAAAAATGAGGGTACTCCATTAAGAATTTTCATGTTTTTGAATGAATATGCGAATATTGATATGTTCTTCCCCTGCATGAACCGCCATTCAACATTTAATTTACATCACACAAAAGGATAAACATAGAATTATCATGGAATAAGTATATCAACATACATGGATTACAATAAAGCATAAAATTAATAACATATGATCTAAATTAAGATGTAAAAAGTTTAAATTAACCTGACAGTT